GAAAGCAAAGAAATTATTAATTATTTGGAAGAAATGATTAAGGAGCGAGACGACAAAATTAAAACCAAGCAAGAAACAATTTGTAACTTAAATGAAAAAATTAAGGAGCAAGATGAAGAGATTTATTTAAAGGAAAAGATTAGAGAGCGGGAAGAAAATATCAAAACTCAAGCATTAGAATATATTTACGATGCTATTAGCGGATTGACTATTACTAATACAAATAAGGATCATATATTAAATACTCCGGGTGGATTACAAAGATATCAAAAATTAAAAGAACTTCATTTCTCTGATACTCAAATATCTTGTATACCAACTTTGCCTAACTGCTTAACAACTCTCCGCTGTGATGGTACACAAATAACTCTTTAACAACTCTTAATTGTTTTTATACTAAAATAAATAGCTTACCAACATTACCTAAGACCTTAAAAGAATTATACTGCTATCAAACGCAAATAACTCGCCTGCCTACTTTACCTAACACTTTAACAACTCTTAATTACTCTTATACTAAAATAGCTAGTTTACCAACTTTACCTAATACCTTAACAGAACTTTATTGCTATGAAACTCAAATAACTAGCTTACCAACTATACCTAATTCCTTAACAACTCTTAATTTTTCTTGTACTAAAATAGCTAGTTTATCATCATTACCTACCTCCTTAATTGAACTCTATTGCTATAAAACTCAAATAACTAGTCTACCCAAATTTGTATTTATCCTTAAAAATTCTCTCCTGTCATAATTCTTCAATAATTAGATTACCAGCTTTACCTAACTCCATATCTACTCTTAATTGCAATAATACTCCAATAGCTAGTTTACCAATTTTACCCATATCCTTAACGGTTCTCGAATGCTCTAGAACTCAAATAACTATCTTACCAGTTTTACCTAACTTCTTAAATACTCTTAATTGTTATAGCACACAAATAACTAGCTTACCAACCTTACCTAACTCTTTAACAATTCTAAAATGCTCCAATACTCAATTAACCAATTTGCCAAATTTACCCAATTCCTTAACAACACTTGATTGCTCGCTTAATAAAATAACTAGTTTACCATCTTTACCTAACTCTTTAAAGGAACTCGAATGCTTTAATACTAAAATAATTAACTTACCGATTTTACCTAACTCCTTAACAACTCTTATTTGCGCTAATACTCAAATAACTAAATTGCCAAATTTACCTAACTCCTTAATAACTCTTATTTGCTCAAGTACTCCAATAAATAGATTACCAACTTTACCTAACTCTTTAACAACTCTCTACTGCGTAAATACTCAAATAAAATGTTTACCAAATTTTCCTAATTCCTTAAGTGTAATTTACCCTACATATTTTTCTATCAATATGTAAAATTTTTAATATAGAGTACAATCCTACGCATTGTTTACCTATAAGTTAATAAAATTTATAATAATGAAATTTTGAAATCGTAATAATTTTTTGGTGAAATTTACATTTTGTTAAAAAAAGTGATTATAATTTTTAATTGCTAAGATAATTAATTTTAACGTGACATAAATCAATATATATATATATATTGTCTTGTTATAATTTAACGAAAGTCTAAGAATATGATTTCTCGTAAAATAAATTTTTTTTAAGGATGAAGGTAATTATTTATGACTAATTTTCATTATTTTTTGATTGTTTCTAAAAAAAGAAAAAACTACCTAATTTAGACTAACAAATCTTTATTACTCACGTATACGCATTTCAATAAGCCTTTTAAAAAGTTTAACATGTATGATATAAAATATAAGGTTTATTCGAAATTAATAATAACAAATATTTAAAGTTGCATATAAGCTATTTGATCAACTTTATTATTTTAAAGTTTTTATTTGAAGCTAAGTTTATTTTAACAATTCAGAAATATGTCTTCTTTATTAAAATAATAACAAAAAAAAATAAATAGTATCAAATTTTGCTGTTTTATTATCGAAAACAAACGCTCATTCGATATATTTATATGGGATCTTTGCAATAGGAAGGGGGGAAACAGCCGGAAAAAATCAATTTTACTTTTATATGCCAAATATGATTTTTAGGTCAAAATATGTTCAGATTTAGCATTAACTCATTTTTTATTTTTTCCAGCCGTTTCCCCCTTTTCTATTGCAAAGGTCCCATATGTTTAAATAAAACTTGCAAGATAGAAAAAGAGTTTTGATCAAAAAATTATTATATTTTTTAGAGGAAAAAAATCTCTTTTTACTTCTTGATCTATTCAGACAGATTTAGGTTAGGAAAAGATTTGCTTAATTATGTAAAGTATAACTTTTATCGGTAATTTTACCAAAACTTCATTTAATTTGGTAAATCATTAAATATGGTTACTAGAGATGGGGACATTTCAAAAAGAGCGACTTAGAGTCGGTTCTGGAACCGATTCTAAATTTAGCAATTCTAAATTTACTTAGTTACTAAAAACTTTATCAATTTAAAATCGAACCGGAACTGTCTTCGGACCGGCTCAAAGAGTCACCTCATATACAGTAAACTTTATGATCACTTGAAATTTTTCTTTTTTTAATTTGAAATGTATAATATCGTGATAATTGAGTAGGTAAATTTTATGATATTTATATTGTTTTTTAAAAAAAAAAAAAAAATTCAAATTATTTTACAAAGAAAAGTAAGACAAAATGCAAAAATGTAATATATATAAAGTAAAGAACAAAATTAAAAGAAAAGAAAAATCAAAATAAAAGCAAAATAATTTAAGAAAATAGTACTTTGTCAAGGAATAAAGAAAGATATAATAATTAAAATTTTATCTAATAAAAACCAAAATTTGCAACATATGCAAAAATTTGTAACAAAAAAAAAAAACAAAAAATCGTTAAAAATTAAAAACAAGATATCTGCTGCAAAAAAGTAATACAAAAAATGTGACGCAAATAATAATTTTTATACTAAAGATATTTTTTTGTAAAACAAATACAAAGAAATGAAATAAAAAACATTTGCGAAAAAAAAGGATCATTCAAATCAATAAAAATATAACACAATACAAAAGAAATCACGAATGCAATACCAAAATTAGTCAAACTATACAACCAAAGAAACAAATCAAGCGAAAATAATCATCAAATATTAATATTCGATCAACTATGATTTGATCGGTTTAACAAAATTATTTGGCAAACTATTATATTTTATGATATTATAGAATATTGAGAATTTGCTATCAGGAAATTTGAAATGAAATACTGTATTGTTTAAATGATATTGAGTATCGCATAATAAAATTCATGCGTTAAAATTTGGCAGTATTTATAAATCAATAAGTAAAGATCAAACCACTGAAATTTCGAAGGAAACTATGAAAAATGTTCCAAAGGTTATATAGTCTTTACAATAAAAAAAAATAAAAGAAATTAGTAAAAAGGCAAATAAGTGGAAATACTCAAAATAAGTTCAGTCAAAAAACAATGTTGAGAATTATCTACTCTTATTTTTTTTGCCAATAATATTTCGGCAACATTAACTTTGCCTTAATCTCTTTATTGATGACTTACGAGACAATTCTGCAGTCGGAGGTGTTTTAAATTTATGATGCTAGTAATAATAAATAATGGGATATATTAATATGCTGATACACCATTTGAACTGATCGTTTTTTTATTTCCCTACGTACTCCTCATACCTAATTAGTGCTCAAATTCGAACGTATATTTTCATAGGTGTTTGTTGTATGAGTAGTGGTTTTCCATTCTGGTTACGAGCTTGGCAAAATATTTCCTGACCTACTGATTCGATATACCCGGGATGTTCTATAACTAGACATTTCTAAATTTGTAAAAATCATTTGGGATCGTTTAACATCCCTAAAAATAAAATGAAAAATCGTCTGCCAATAATTCGATCGACGGACGCAAACCTAAAAGAAAAAGTAAGGAAATAAAAAACAAAATGCGCATCATCGGCGTCGTTGTCTATTATGTATCCTAAATGTTTAAATGAAGGAATTTGTTTTTTTGAAATAATGTTTGAACATTATGTGTTGTAATTGATAAAGATAGTGTGTCATGACATAATTTGTAGAAAAGTGAAAATAAGTGTGTATTCATAAGTAAAGTTTATCATTATTTTGGAAGTTTTGAAAGCATAATTTTCTAATTGGAGCAAATTGCGCATCGAAAAATTATTTCCTTTTATATATATTTCCGCCGGATTTAAATATTATCGGCTCGTATTAATCTTTTCAATGTTTCACAACAGGGCATGAAAGGATAATGACACAATAAATTATGTATTCATTAAAGAAAATAAATTATTTACTTTCTTTTAAAGTTACTAAAAATTACTTTATTGTCTGAAACATGGCGTTGGGCAATCAAATACTAGGCATATCAAATGCAATGTCTGCATATTGATCACCCAATAGAATTCTGCGTTGCTGATGTCATGTTACGCATGTTTCACATAAATTAATAAATTATGATTTTTATTATAAGCCCTGTTATCTGAAATTATGCTTCGGACTAGAACGGTTACCGTTTTTTTATTTATTTTAATGTAAATCGCAAATCTATAATCATCTTTGATTATCTGGTATTATTATTTATTTATTTGTATTTTTTTTTTTCTTAAAAATCATTTTAGTTACAAAACTTTATTTATTTTTTTTGAAAGAAATCATTGTAATCTTGTCGAATTTGAATATTCCGAGGCAAATTTGTGGGCAGGCGTTAAGTCTTGCATAAGTGGGTCGGGTTTCTAAATATAAACCTATGCAGGAATTTATAAAGAACTCTCTTTTACAGTTCACCAGATTTGTAACTTCATTATTAAAAATGGAATATAATCAAAGATATCTTTTAACGATAATCGCTTATCGTGACTGTAATATAACAAATCATCAAGATGCTTTTTACCAAAGGTAAATATGTCATTTATGAAAAAAATTCGATATATATATCGCGCTAATTTGCAATTAAATCTTCTAGACATTTTTCTTGATAACTTTGAATATGGAAACGGAGTATTTGTTTGCGCTAAAATTAATACGTAAATTACAAGATCCCGTTCCTCAATATGTATTGGGTTGCCTGCCAGCTATCGCAACAATAGGAGTTGCTCCTTGGGATGATTTCATGAAAAAGTTAATATGGTTAGCGCGATGTCTAGGATGTCCATTCACGGGATTATTTTAAACCTGTTGCGTAAAGAGTGATGAGACATCATTGTGCGCTTATTGGCTCCCTCCAAAAAGTTTTATTAGGAATGATGAAAACTCGACAACATCAATCACTTACAGACCTTTCGGAGTATACGCCATGAACATTGAACAGTCGGAACATATAAAAGCATGTGTCGCCAAGGCATCCGTACTAGAAAGGTTGTCGTCGTTGGCGTCGTTATACTATATAATAATTGGTATAATTTCTGGAATATCAAGGGTGGCAGGACCGACGATCTGTGATGAGGATTGGCCAAGTATACCGTTAGCATTATCTTGGACATTACCTGCAATATATAGGAGAACGATTCGAAATAATCTAGTTGCTTTCGATCCTAATAATATATTAGGAAACAATCAAATAACCGTAAACTTAATCAATTATAATAAGTCTGACGATTACGCCCGCGTCGCGTTCACTGCTCTAGTGTCAATAGGAGTACCTTGGATAACAGTGCTGTTAGCCTACTTCACACCCCCAATCGGTTTTTATTGTCGAAGTATATTTCTCTCGGTGTTGTGTTCAATATGGTCATTCAATAGTATCTTGGCACTTTTAAGCCACTTGATGGGAGAAAAAAGCGTATATGGAAATTATTTTCATTTCCATTTCTTTATTTGTGGTATTATAGTAGCATCTCTTTTGTTTCTTCTAGGCTTGCTAAGCAATCAGAATACATGGTGGGTAGGCCTGTTCGGTAAAGCTTGTGATATTTCGAGCGCATGCCCAGTTGCTTTTTGAATTTATGGAATATAATTACTAAAGCAAATAATAATCTGAGAATGAAAAACTTGCAATTTCGTCCTTATTTTTCACTCGTCATTTCTTTTATATTATGGAATTATTATTTGTCTGAATATTACAAGAAAAAGATATTCCGAAGAAATTTCCTTAAACACTTCTTTGCTTTGCGTTAGCAAAGTATTGTAGATTATATATATACTATATTCTTAAATATAATTTATTATTTTTACTCGCATGGTTATACTATTTAGAACGACGGTTTCGACATTTTTCTTCATATTTTGATAATATAGAAAAAGCAGGACAAGTGATACAACATTTGTATTGTGTAACAATTTTTCGAAATAATAAATGAAATGTAAAAAATTAAAGATAATGTTGATAAGAGCGCATGGATAAAAACAATGTTTCGTGCGTCTTAGTTTTATACTATAAAGGAATAATTAGATCTTATAATTTTTTTTTTTAATCTAATCACATCAGATGATTATTTTAACAAAAAAATTCCGATTCATAATATTATTATAATATATATGAACTTTATTTGGTTAAATTTTTTATAATCGATTATCTTATTAGCAAAGCAAGCAATTAGGCCGTCAAATTTTCTAAAATTAGGAAATGATCGAACGACTTTATTATTTAAAAGTTAAAAAAGTTTCGCACCCTTCTATAATTCAAAACTTTAAAATATTTAATATAAAACCATTATTAATTGTTTGAATGGGCGTTTGAATGAGAGGTCACAGTAGTTTATCTCCAGTAAAAATTTTTTCATTGTTTATTTTTTTAAAAAAAAATAAACGTGCGTAAAAAATAATGTTTTTTAATGTAATAATGTCTTATAGGAAGTGTTACAAAATTGATTTTCAAGTATTACAAAAATTTAGTGTAATAGGGTAATTTTAATAATAAAATTTTATATATTTTATAATAGCAAAAAATTCTAAATAATAATTTAATAGTAAAATTTTAAATAATAAATGTTAGTGACTCAATATTTAAAATTAGAACAATTTATTATTGGTTGAAAATGTTTACTATAACGTAGCATTTTTTATCATTATTTTACTCAAAATCAATTTCTTATCAAGTAATAGCTTAGCTCTATATAATTATAAAATTTCAGATTTTTGTATTTTTGTTTTAAGGTAATGTTTATAACTTATTTCATTAACCTATAATAATGTCTATTTAAGTTTATTTTTGCTTTTGATATATGAATTTAAATTATTATATTTTTGAAGATATAAAATTTTTTATTCAATGTTAATCATTTTACTAACTCTTTGTTAAAAATTTAATTTATTCATATTTTTATTCAAATTTTTAGGTAAAAATTTTTAATTATACATTTTTTTAAAAAATTAATCATGATACTTTATTCTAATAAATTTATTTATAATTTATATTGGCTGATCAATTATAATAAAAGTAATTACAGAAACTGATAAATTAAAATTTAATAAATTTATTAAAGTAAAAATAATTAATTTATTTTTTAAAGAAGATTACTATATTTAGAGATTAGAATCAGTTTTATTTTCATAAATTAGTTTTAAATACTATTTTAATTTAAGATTCAGATTAAAACTAAATTTAAATAAAAACAATTAAATTAAACATCTAACTATAATAAATCTGAAAATTGAAATGCAATAAGTTTTATTATGTAATATAATATTAAAAGATATTTTTTCCTTTAATGTTTATTAAAAAAAAAAAATATTAACTATTAAATTAATTATAAATTTAAAATGATAGATAAAATATAAAAATAAAATTTAATTTACCAAATTTAGAGATAATAATATAATTTTTTAAATATATATAGAAGGTTTCTAGAAAAATCAGATTCTAAAAAATTTTTGACTTAAATTAAAAATTTAATATATTTTAATCTAATAATATTAAAAACCAAGATGTAATAAAAATCTTAATTTTGTAAAATAATTCACAGAATCAGATTTTCTTAGCAATCAACTCATATATTAATTTATATTTAAAAATAATATTACATTAAATACTAAAAATTGTAAGAATTAATAAATATTTTCTGTCAAATTAAGATAAGATATAAAAGCTATTTTTATTTATATCCTATCACTTTAAAAGATATATATAAATTTATTAAAGTTTTAATTATATTTAAATAAAAAATTATTTATATTTGCAAAAAAATATATATAATATAACAAAAAATATATATAATTTAAAATTTAACCTTAAATTATATTATTTATTTTTAAATAAAATCTAAATATATATAATAAGATTTCTATATGATCTTACAACTGTTTTTCTAAAATATAGTAATTGTATAAAGGTGTATTTTATAATAACTTTTTTTAATTATCTTAATTTTATATAATTTATAAAATTATATAAATTTTACAGATTATTTTTTTTTTAGTAATAACTATTTTATAAAAAGTAATTTAATGAGTCTAATTATTTTATAAAGTAAATATAATATAAATTTATATAAATAAAAATTTATATAATAATACTGTTAAAATCAAAAAATCAGATATATGAAAATAGCTTAAAATTAGTCTAAAATTGGTAAATTATCAAAAATTAGCCTAATCGATTGTTATACATTAAGAATCAGCAAAGAATCAGATAAAATTAGATCTATATTATTTATAACTAATTGGCTTACTTATAACCAATCATTTTATATATTTTTAATTATTTTATTATTCTTTATTTTAACTTTACATATTATTATATATTTAATAAAAAAATAAATTTAACAATATTATTTATGAAAAATGTTGACAAAAAATTAAGTTTCTTTTAGTCTATCCATTTCTTTTTAATACCTCATCCTTATTCCTTATTATATAATTATTATTTTCATTATCTTTATAATTGTACTATTTGTTTTACCATTAAAATTAACATTCTAATATTTATATTCATTTCTAAAAAGTTGTATAAAATTATCACACAGCATGTAAATAAATTTTCCATTTCAAATGTTTTAATATCAAGATCTTTTAATATTCTATATCTTGCTTTTAATTTTCTAAAAGCATTTTTTACTACAACTTAATGACATGAATAAAATTAATTAAATTCTTTATTTTTTTGAGAATTAAGATCTTTAAAAATGAAATTAAAAAAGGAGAAATAGGATAAACTGAATTACCTAAGAGATAATCATCATCTTGAATAAGATGAATATAATTTTTATAAAAAGATGAATTTCTAAAAACTTGAGTATCATGTATTAAACCTAATCACCTACATTAAATTAATAAAAATTCTACTATAATTTATAATACATTAACAATAAATAGTATAATGCTTTTTCTAATAAAATAAATTTCTGAATCTTTATTTAGAATATTTCTTATAAGAATATATGTTCTATCAATTGCTCCAATTACATTTTTAAGTTCTCCTAAATTTTCAAATCCCATGAATTTTTTCACATTTATCTAAATAGGCATTTAACAAAACTTTTTTTGTCATAATTGCTTGAATAACTTGTTTAGTATAAAGAATCACTGTTTCTTCTTCTATTCCAAATCTTGAATAAATCTCAAATAAACTTCTAGTAGATCCAAGTTGGTAAAGAAATACAGCTAATTGAAATCTAATACAAGCTAAATTTATTTTCTCATAATAAAATATAGGATAAAATCATATAAAATTAGCTAATTGTTAAAAATGATGTGAAAACATTTTCAAAAGTTTTTAAATTGAACAGAATCATAAAATGGAAGGACAATTTGCTACCAATGCTTTGATTTTATTACGTGATATAATCTTAGTCCTAAATACTATGTATTTAATTATATTATTAAGGCAGTTTGTAAAATAACATTATCTTCTTTTTCACTTGAAGTTTCATATTCTTCATATTCTTCTTCTAAAAACATTTTTAACCACAGTACATTATAAATTTTTTTTGCAGTTCATATCATGTAAAAATGCTAATTATGTCTATTACAAATAAATATAATCGATCTGTTCAATCAAAAATTGTATTCAATTACAACTACAATCTGATTGGCTATAAATTTTTTTGGTCAATCCAATCTGATCTAGAATTTAACAGGATTAATGTTAATCAAATAATAGTAGAATAATGCATTAAAAAGTAATTTTAGTAATCTGCATTTGCTACTGATCAAGGTCTGGTCTGATCTAATCTAAAACTGCTTAAGAAAAAAATAAAACAATTAATCAAATATAATTAATAATAAAACTAATTA